CTCTGTGAAGTTAGAATATACACCATTCTTTTTATTCTAACCCCACATCCCTTTTTATCATAATGTGGTTGCTTGTGATGTGTTTATTTTTCAGATGATAAGTGTTTTATTGGTAGGAGATTCAGTGATGACATGGTTCAGGCTGACAAGAGTTTGTATCCTTTCAAGATCACCGGAGGACTCAATGACAAGCCTGTGATTTTAGTTACATACAAAGGTGAAGAGAAAAAATTCTCAGCTGAAGAAATTTCATCAATGGTTCTCGCCTGAGTAATGGTTTAGTGATTTTTTCAACCACTAAAGTTAATTCTTTCTAAATCGATATTGCAATTTCTGATTCGAACCAATATTCTTTAAGCATACTGGACTCTTTTATATAATTACATGTCTAGCATAAATATTTATAAATAATGGAATCAATAAATCAAAGAAAAAAAATGCATAATTAAGCTAATTCTATGAGAATATCTTCATCTTCAACTGTTTCATTCTTTAAGAATTTTTTGCATCTAAGTTATTCTTCTATTTGAATAATGTATAAAGAGTATTATATTCTTGCAGAATCACATAAGAATGATTCTGCCATAATTGTTTTTTCGGTATAATCACATAAAAATGATTATGGTAGAATCACATAAGAATGATTTTGTCGGGATTCTATTGCAACTTGCTTTCATGCAATGCAATTCTAATAGAATGGCAATTCTGATAGATAGTTAATTATTTATATGTTTAATGTGTAGTTGTTACAAGTGTATCACTACAAAATATTTGACAATGAATTTGTGATAGAAATGGCTTGAAGACCTGATGGGAAAGACTTGAAGAATGAATCAAAGAATGATTGCACTCACTGTTTACGAATGTTGTTATTTTTTAAGAATTACACTTGTTATTCTTTCAGAATGTTGTTATTATTCAATGAATCACAATCATACAATGTAATTATTTGGTATATTATTAGTTCAAGAATCGATTTTGTGTATTCTTTCAGAATGTATTTACTAGTTTATGTTTGGCATTCTGTCATTCTGACAGAATAAAATCGAAAATATATTTACTAGTTTATGGTTGGCATTCTGTCATTCTGACAGAATAAAATCGAAAAATATATTTACTAGTTTATGGTTGACATTCTGTAATTCTGACAGAATAAAATCGGATTTTTTAATTTGAAGTAATTTAAAATATTCAGATTTTTAAAAATAAAGGAATTAATTATCCCTAAAAATCCGAAAATTTCCTTTTTTAATATAGGTTAATTGACTAAAAGCCCTTATGCTGAAATTTGTGTGGTTATATGGTACATGTTATCCTATTCTAATATCATAGACCCTCAGATCATGACCTTTGGTTCTATTTCATCCGGTGGTCCAGATCTGTGCATTCTGGCACACAATAGTTAGTAAAAAACAAAATAACTTAAGCATATATATATATATATATATATATATATATATATATATATATATATATGATTTTTGAAGTCAATTTGAGTTGCAACACCTAAATGAACATGATCATCAGTTTATTTAATTTAATTTTCAGTTGCAATTTTCTTTTTAGCTCGCTGAATTTTCTTTCTTTATATATATATATATATATATATATATATATATATATATATATATATATACCATGATCTAAGAGTGTATTCAGTTGGAGTTTTTCTTAAATGTAACCATATGATTATACCCATCAACACCTTGATCATGAGACAAAGACTACAACACTTTATGACCCCCCTCCATAAGGAACTAAGAGCGCTAATTTCTAAAAGAAATTGGGCCATAGTCGTTAACCAATTCTTTTAGCAAGATCAGACGGTGGCCGAACATTTCTTTTCTAAAACCAAACCCAAAATGTAAAGAAATATATCTAAGAAACCTTCTAAGAGTAAAGACCAATCCAATTTACTCTTCTTGTATTTACCCAAGTAAAAGAGTGTGACATAGAGGAATATCCGCTAGCTCCCCATCCATAATAAAGTGGTTGCAAACATTTGTGGACATAAACCAATTCTATTTGTAGACTTTGAAACTTTAGTAAACTTACCTACATGTTGGGGATTGATGCACAAACATATACACCAAAGTACAAACAACGAAAGTATTAGCAAATTAAAGTTTTTTGATAAATCCCAAAGCCATGGATTTTTATAACAACATAAACCAACAATTATTCAGTCCATAATATGTTTGTCATTTTACCTCATGTTGATGATAGATTACCAAGACAAGTAATCCTCAATGTTTGATTTACACGGAGAAAAAACAACTACTAGACAACCAACTAAATCAAACCTCACCTCATTTCTTTGATTCTTGAACATGTCACCAAGACAGGGAAGGGCTTATTGACGCTAGGTTTAAGCTCCAAGGAGAGTTATAGGGTTCTAACAGCTTCTTGTCTAATTATTCGTATGAGCTATTAAAGCCTTCATATATTTTGGTAGTTATGGGCATATCTTAAAAATCATTACTTGCATACTAAATAAATCCCTAAAACCTTATTATTAACTCTTAATAATTAACTCTAGTTAGTTAATGAAAACTTTTATCAGTAAAATTAATAACTAATTTATTTTAATAAATAACTACTTATTATTTTACCACAACAAAGAACAAACTTTTCATTCCTAATTATAATAGGCGGTAAATAGTAATTATTTATAAGTTATAAATATTATTATTTATATGTTCTTTTTATGCTCTTGAGTGAGTGACCACATTGGTTCATATAGAAATAGATAATTTATTTTGTGTTTTCTAAACATTAAATCCAACATACTTCCATTTATACAGAAAAACAACTAAACTCGGAACTGCATAAATAATGGTAAGCTTAGCAACACCTCATTATCCATAATCATATGTAAATATCTTGTTATTTATAAAGCATCCACTCATGTTTAGTGGTCGGCGATTCACATAGGTCCCGTTTGATAGTTGCTGACTGAGAAAATGCTGACTAAAAAAGGTCTGTATGGGTAAGAACTCCTGATTGAGTAAGAAATCCTGTTGTTTGATTGTACATCTGACTGAATGTGCTGAGTGATGAAAAATGATCATTTTACCCTGCTGTTATATATAGTGATGGATTAAGTTGCTGAAATCAACATCATGCTAAATAAAAATAGCACAACTATACAAAAAAAAATTCATTACAGTTGGATTCCGATTTCATAGATTATACACAAAAAAAGAATTCTGATTCATAGCTTATTCATAAACAAATTCATAAACAAATTCAGATTTTATAACAATAGCACATCTAAACACAATATTTCATAAACAAATTCATAAACAAATTCAAATTTCATAAACAAATTCTTGATTGTTTCTTAATTGTAAGATATTATAAAGTTGTAACAAGCATTATTTATTTAGTAAACAATAGCTTAAAATTATATAAGTTATAATCATGCCATGCGTCCCTTACTGTTGGCTTATGGATAAATGCCATATGTAAGAACCAAATACTCAACTTTCTGCCTTAGTTCATGTCTACACTTCCATGGAAACATGCTTAATTCATGTCCTTAGATGCCTTTTATTCATGTTTTCCTTGAGTTAAAAACATATGATTTGGTAGTGGATCAATGATTTATTGTACGTCAAATGACTTTCCTACCCCTCACAAATTCAGATTTCATAGAGCAATACACACAAAAATTTCTGATTTTATAACAATAACACATCTACACACAAGATTTCAAATTTTAAAGCTTATAGGTCACGAAAAGAAGTAGAAATTAGAGGGTAGGATTCAAATTTCATAACAATAGCACAAAAACAATTATGATTTTAGAGCTTATAAACAAAGAACTTCTGATTTTAAAGGTTATGTACAAACGATTTTGATTGTAGAACTTACCTGCTGGAGAAGAAGAAGATCCGATTGAAGGAAGGAGGAGATCCGAAGGGAGATGGCAGCGATTGGGAGATGACAACGACTGGGAGGGAGCTGTTCGATGGAGGAGGCGTCTGATTTTGGACGCGATCTGTTTTAGGTCACGAGAAAAAAATTAGAGGGTAGGATGGTCTTTTGGGCGAGTCAGCAACATCTTCACAGCTGAGCGACACATCCATTTGGGTCAGACAAGCTGATCGAGACAACTCGTATCAAACATGAAAGTCTGACCGAGAAAGCTGAAACATTTTGACTCGGTTTGGGTCAGATGGGTATCAAACAGCCCCCTAGTCTACATGTCCCTTCGTTTTGATATTCATAGAGCTCTAGTTCATGGATTGATAAGTAACGTGTTCAACATATCGTTCTGAGCTTTTGTTGGTCTATGATTAAATAAAGTTAATCATATTCATCTAGTGTGACCACACCCTTCAACTTATTCACTAATCGAACAACCTAAACGATATGAAACTCCAAATAATTTGAGTAACAAAATTCATTTCGACATATTTGTGCTCCTCCTAAGTTCTATGACATATCTGAAAATCGCCTTTATAAATTATAACTATCATTGTTTATATTAGCGTTTGTCATACCTCAAATCATTACACTACATTTATTCGGAAACCATGAATTCTTTTTAGATCATACGACATAAATCCTTATAATGATTTGGCCAAGATTCACTCAAAACGGTCTATATAATGTGTTTTAATAAAAAAAATTCTGATTTAATAAATTTGATTATGGCCTACCCCTTTTTAGGGCCAGACATTGTGTTTAAAGCATAAAAATCTATGTTTCGTTAAAATATGGATTTAATAAATTTGATTATTATGTTATATTTTATGTTATACTATGTAATATGTTTGTGGAGGAATAGAGAAAGATATATGGATCCTATTTGGCAAATGGTATGAACTATGATATTACACGTCACATGATCATACGATAGCCCCATACGGATCCTCGAAAACCCACCATTTAAACCGATAAAAACCCCCAAATCTCAATTCCCCCATTCGTCTAGCCACACACATTCACCCTATCCATCTTCTTCCCCAAATCCTATCTTCTTCCCTCTGTAAATGGCGTCCATCTCCGCCGCAGCCACTGCTGCAGCTTCATTTACATACGCCACGCCTTCCTCATCTTCCTCTTCTTCATCCCCTCTTTTTACCCTTCAGAAACCCACCACCAGAATACTGCTTTCTTCTTCGTTTGTTTCTAAATCTTCCACAAACCTTTTCCTCCACAACCCTTCTTCATCCTCCGCCAACGCTTCTCACCGCCGCCGCTCTCTCACCGTACGCGCTGCTCGGGGGAAATTCGAGCGAACTAAACCCCATGTCAACATCGGAACTATCGGCCATGTCGACCATGGAAAGACTACACTCACTGCCGCCCTCACCATGGCCCTAGCCTCTACAGGTGGAGGAATTGGCAAAAAATACGACGAAATTGACGCCGCTCCTGAAGAACGTGCTCGTGGTATCACCATCAATACCGCCACCGTAGAGTACGAGACGGAGAATCGCCACTACGCCCACGTCGACTGCCCTGGTCACGCTGATTACGTTAAGAACATGATTACTGGTGCTGCTCAGATGGACGGAGCTATCCTCGTCGTCTCCGGCGCCGACGGCCCCATGCCTCAGACTAAAGAACACGTTCTGTTAGCGAAACAAGTTGGTGTCCCTAACATGGTTGTTTTCTTAAACAAACAAGATCAAGTCGACGATGAGGAATTGCTTGAATTGGTCGAATTGGAGGTAAGAGAACTCTTGTCTTCCTATGAATTCCCCGGTGATGATATCCCAATTATCTCCGGATCTGCTTTGTTAGCTTTAGAAGCTCTAACAGAAAACCCCAAGATTGCAAAAGGCCAAAACAAATGGGTCGATAAAATCTATGAACTAATGGCAGCTGTCGACGATTACATCCCAATCCCGCAAAGACAAACCGACCTCCCATTTCTATGCGCAATCGAAGATGTGTTTTCAATCACTGGTCGTGGAACAGTGGCCACGGGTCGTGTCGAGAGAGGCACTGTTAGAGTCGGAGAGAGCGTTGAGATTGTGGGGTTGAAAGATACCAGAACCACCATTGTTACAGGAGTCGAAATGTTTCAGAAGATTCTAGACGAAGCTTTAGCAGGTGACAATGTCGGGCTTCTGTTGAGAGGTGTTCAAAAGATCGATATCCAAAGAGGGATGGTTTTGGCTAAACCGGGTTCAATCACACCTCACACAAAGTTCGAGGCTTTGGTTTATGTGTTGAAGAAAGAAGAAGGTGGAAGGCATTCACCATTTTTTGCAGGTTACAGGCCTCAATTCTACATGAGGACGACTGATGTTACAGGTAAAGTGACTTCGATTATGAACGATAAAGATGAAGAATCAAAGATGGTTATGCCTGGTGATCGTGTGAAGATGGTGGTGGAGCTTATTATGCCTGTTGCTTGTGAACAAGGAATGCGGTTTGCAATCAGAGAAGGTGGAAAGACTGTTGGAGCAGGTGTTATCGGAAACATTCTTGAGTGATCTTATGTGTTCTTTTCTGGAGATTTTATGCACTTAATTTTGCATTTTCATGATACATCTCTTTTCTTGAATTTATGCTAGCTTCTTAGCTTAATTAATCGCAAATATGATTCGGCTTTCTTGTAATCAATCACTTCATATGTCTTAAGTGTTTTCTTTAGCTATTTTGATCTTTGTTTCAGTCACTTGAAATATAGTCACATATGATATTGTTTAAACTTTAATGCATATGTTTGAGTGATATGAAGATTTTGATTGAATTCACATTGGAAGTAGCATAAGTTACAAATACATGATGGGTACACTAATAATTTTAAACCATCAAGGCCCAGCTTAAACTGATACAAATTAACTTCCTCTTGCTACTATGGCTTGTTTCTTGCCTTCTTGGGACATTTACTTTAGAAAATGGTGGAAAAGATGAGTTGTTGAACGAATGCTGCTCTATGCATCTTCTCTTCATGATCCTTGACTTCTAGTTCTTCGTTTGTGCTGCATATGATTAACAAATAGTCAGTCATTGATGTACAATAAACCATTTAACAAAGAGGCTATTAATAAACCATTTAACAAAGAGGCTATTAATATGGTGTGCGTGCCCTTTGTGACTAAATATCGGAAAAATCAGCTATAGGACCAAAAATGTAATTTCATAAAATAATAGTGTTATGTTGCAGTTTTTATTAGGGCATGGATCGAGTACAAAACCAGCCCCAAGTTACTAGGGGTCATCCATCTAGATACTTCGTGTCTTACTAGGTTTAACCAAATGGAATATCTTATCCTCATGTTTTTTAAAGTATGTTTTGAAAATAATGCTATTTACATTTCTATAAAAGATTTTCGTACCCCATTTGGTCACCCAAGACTTGTTTTAAAAGTCACTAGGGCACCGGACCCCATCAAAAAGCCTATGGTTAAAAATTGTTTTGACGAAAGCAATATTAAAATGGATAACCACTTAGAAAGCAATCATATATACCTCTTGACATCAAAAGTTGTACTTGGTATTGTTGGTTGATCTTCTTGAATTTCTGAAAATGGAGCACTATATAGAAATGCCGATAGTGGATCGGGTGTGGTTTCGGTCATGTTTCCCCTTTCGGTCATTTCTCGTGTGAGGCTCACACCATTACTCCACAACCCTGACTTCCCGGATTTTCTCCTCCTCTACAACCAACCAAACAACCAACACTTTAAGAGTAGTAACACAAAAGAAAAAGTTCATTTCAATGTAAAGAAATGTAGACTACCTTTATCGAATGAACATGTTGTGATGTGAAATGTGCAATTGCATCTTTGCCTAAATTTGCTGCACATATCGGACAAACCTAAACAACAACTTTCGTTTTAGATAAAGCATCACAAAGAAATTGATGTTTGTGGGTCTATTACAGTTCTGAAGTTCTAAACCCAGAACTGTAGCAGACCCACAAATTGCAAAAAGCATAAAGATTGTGGACAAACCTAAACAAATAACTTTCGTTTTAGATAAAACTTTGTTAAGGGAATTGATGCTTTGGGTCCGTTTCACTACTGAAACGGACCCACAAGCTGAAAAAGCATAAAGATTGAGGTTTAGTGGGAATACCGCGTTATTTAGGTCGAAACAATGTTCTTCTTGTAGATGGCAACAAAGGGCAGGGATTTCGATTTCTACATAGCAAAATGGGCAGGGAAACCATGCTCTAACATCATCATCCCCATCTATTGTAAGATGATTATCTGCCTCAAACAAGAAACAATTTTGAATAAAATTTAAATGAACCAATTTTGTTATCTAATCAAGAACCACACATACAGTTTGACTAGGTCAAAATTGAACAATTTGGGATTTTGGATAGGTTCAACATGTTACATGGACCAATCTTTATTGTCTATCAAGAACCAGTGAACCACAAATAACTATGGTTTGACTTCAAAAGTCAAACAAGGTGTTTCTTTACCACAAAATTGAAGTCGATTTTAGAAGTTCTTCATCCATGACTTTGAAGATCAATTGTGTTTGGAAAGTAACATGAATGATCAGATCTTATTGTACAACATAAAACACACAGTAACACACACACACAGAGACTTATTTTAAGAAAAAAGAAATTCCAGAATGTTCCGAGAGGATTGATTGGATTTTTTTCCCAGCAAATATCAAATTACAAAAACCCAGTTTTAAATATATATAAATTTGCAATCCATGAAGCAAGATTTATTAATATAAATCTAAAAGAAAAGAAAAAGACAAAAAGAAGGGTTGAGAGAGAGCTACCGGAGTTGTTGAGCCGTCCAGATTGGAGAGTGTGAAAGTGGTGGTGGTGGTGGTGGTGGTGTTTTACAGACTGAACCCTTGAACCCCATAAATCCATTTCCATGTTTTCCGGTGAAAAAAGCTTCTGTGTCTCGTCGGAAAATCAAGAAACCGGTTAGCCCCAAAAGCAGAAAAAGGGTGAAGCTTGAGATTTATGAAGAAAATTGGATACTTTTTCTTCTGGGTTTTATGAAGATTGATTCTTTAAGGTGCAGTGTACTTTGATGATGTATTTAGTGTGTGTTGTGTGTGAACTGTGAAGTGAAGCAGAGAGAAGGTATTGTCCAATGGGGGTTTTAATGTTTGTATGTTCTGATTTATGGAATTTGTAAACTTTTCGTAAACTAATTGAATATTCAACAATTAATTAATTAAACACGTGAAATATTCTTAAAAAAATTATAAAGAGGAGTTTTAAAACACAAGTAAGTATGTATACCTAACAATTTAATTGATAACATACATGCTTGAGTCTTGATATTTTTTACTTATTTATTTGTATTAGATACCTAATCATTTAAACAAATCCAGATAAATAAACGTCTGTTTCTTTTGGAATTGTTAAACAAAAATTTATGAAGTCTAAAGATTGAATAAATCAATTGGGGTATTTTTTTCAGATAAAATATTAAAATATACCATTTTTTTATCTAAGACATGATTATTCAACAAATATATAAAACAATAGAACGAAGTAAAAGAAAAAGAGAAACTTTGACGGAAATAAAAGTATACGAGAAAATTGAGTGAAAAAAGGGAAAGTTTTCCTGACAAAGAAAAGGCAAGTTGATAATACGTGCCACGTGGGCGATAATTATAGGGTGAATGCGCTGTCGTTTAGCTTTTTTTGTGTTGCCTTGTCATACTCAAAATTGTACACATCACTGTCGAGTCAGATCCTTACAACCATCCAAAAACCCTCCCAAACTTTTTCCATTTTTCCTTTTTAACCCCAAGTTTTATTCAAATTTATAAAACAATAAATAGTTCAATGATTGTTACCAGAAAAAATACGATGTTTACAGCATGTACTTTTAGAAATCGTTAGCTATTGTTCAAATAAGTACTTTCTTTTTTAATAAAAACAAAATAGATAATTTTTCAGATCAAATTAAAATAATAATTAATTGATAAAAAACTAATTTAAACATAAAAATAATACTTAAAGCCATCTATGAACTTATACTAGTAAATGAACGGCAAATTGAGCAAGCTTCGTCTTTAAATTCCATAATATAAAGGACTTTTAACATACCCATCTAATGAAGTCAACTAAACACATAAAGCGAACTTTTTATTTATCTTTTTCATGAAGAAAATTTAGGTCAATAACTTGTTGATCTAAACCACTTTATTTAAAAGATTTAAAATGGATAATATACAGCAAATTATTTTATAGCAATTTCTCTTTGTGTATTAAAAAACTATAAAGTTGTATTAGACAATCTGTTATACTCACCACTAATTATAATAATGGTGGGTGACACATCATCACCGTACCTTTACCACTAAATCATGGGATACCTATCACTATCATATCATTTCACTATCAAATCATGGGATACCTATCACTATCATATCATTTCACTTTAAAATTTGATTTAAAAATGGAAATCAATAAAAACATTTTTTTTAACTGGTTTTTTTATTCAATTATAAAACATTACATAATTAAAATAAACAATTAAAATAAAATAAAAAAACATAAAAATACAAGCACAAACAACTTAAATTAGTTTCTAAACTCCATATTTTTTTAATTATCCCACCATGGAGACTTTTTAAATTTTAGTCAAACTTTTAGGTGTTTGAACGGTCTATGATTTATGTCTTCATATTGATACATGGTCACACCAACTGGATCGTCTTTGTGTGCGTTGTTTATAACAAAGTTATAAAGACTATCGAACTCGCGACATTTTACCCTCATAAAGCGAAACTTAGAACATATTGCATCGAGATTACAACTACGACAACCCATTAAATCATGAAAAACGTTTCCGACTTTTGCCCAAAAATACCTGGAAGTTCGACTATCTGTGTCTTCCAAAACCGTCAGCCATACCAATGTTAACTTCTCTTATTCTTCTTCCGATCAAATCCGCATTTTGGGAGCCATGGTTTTTTAGTGAATAAAGGTCAAGAGAAAATGTGTGAAATATGAAGATGTATAGGTAAAAGAGAACGGTTTGAGTGTATATGTTGTTAAATTGTTGTGTTTATATATAAGTAATGTTTTTAGATTAAAAAATATATATATTCAAAATTTTAACCATTGAACGGTCAAGAAAAGCAAATGCAAGCCAACTGGTCGTTTATGTTCGTCGTCAGCAACACGAAGGAGCACGACCACAAACGACCGAGGTAGCGTGCACGCAAAATTTCCGTGGCTGCGTAGAGCACGATAGGCTGCGTCGAAGGTATACACGATGGCCTTCTATGTAATGGATCGTTATAAAACCAAATCCATTTCAATAAATATAAATAAATTACGGTGGATTGTATTTTTGCTCATATACATATCTAAAGTATCAAGTACAACTGTAAAAACAATAATTTAAAGTTGGAGTGAAGTTGTCAGATGTGTGATAAAAACAAAATAGTATACAAAAAGCCAAAAAAGAAAAATAATCTGAGGAAAAATAAACTAATGAGAAAAATAAAGACCGCAAAGTTATAATAATTAACAACATATTCTAATTATTATCTATAGTTTTCTTGTTTATATTTGATCATATAGGCTTAAATGTAGCAGTATTTTGTAGGTATTTTTTTTCTGAACTATGAAAAAGAATTATATCAAAAACTGCAGATGACATTGTGATCTGCATTTTCTTTTTTCTAAATGACACTTTAACCTTCGTGCATTAGATACTTGTATAACATGATTGTTTATGCAACAAAGACTTGTAAAATTGGAAAAATTCTGTGATGAAACTATCAATAGCAATAGCAATAGCATGACCATCAATGAATGTACAACCCTTTAATGTATAAATAGTGTATTAACGACTTGTATAATCGCAGATGGACATGCCATATGCAATTTCATCTCATATTTTTCTAGTTTTACTATTTTTCCTAGCTTAATGTACTGACACTTCGTTAAGCAAAGCACATCTAGGATATTTTATATTAAATGAGCATTTTTATAATGTTTCTAGCAAGGATAACATCAACGCTTGTTTATTACACATTCTCAATCATACAATTTATGTAGAAACCATGCCCATGAGTCTGTACACTCACTCTTACATGTTCCGTATACAATTAGTATTATTTTGTATTGTTCGTCTATATCAACTGCAAGTAATATCATACATGTAACGTCCCAAAAATTAAAATAAATTTTAACTTTTAATAAACTCATTTATTTAATATAGAATCTCAATCATTCATTAGTTAATCAAAATCCATTAATTTTAACCATAAATAATCATACTTATGAAATCTGTTATGTTCACAAACTAACACTTAAACTTTGGAAATAGAAGAAACTATGAGTTTATCATTTATAAAAATCATCAAGCCACGTCATGTGTACAGTGAAGTTATGCCTTTCTCTTTACTAGTACCTGTAATTTCTGAAACAATAATTTTAACAGGGTAATGGTAAACACGAAGTTTAGTGAATTCCAAGACAACATCACATCAAAGTAATATATATTACTCCTACCATATAGGTACATCTATCATGCCATCAAGTAATAAACTAAACATGCATATCAGACAAGCAAACACTTCCATACAATACATGCAAGTTTAAGAACACATCAATAATATAGCATCCAATAAGGACTCGGCATTACTGCCTTCGGTCCGCCGACTCGGCACGATGGCCTTTGGTCAGCCGACTCGGCCTTTCATCCTTCAGCCCAAACATGTCATATACAATTAATACAAGCCACATCCTCTAGTGTTAATCATACATGTCCTAATACTCACACGATCTAAAGCAAGCATATGAAACGTCAATGTCACGTAGTGAGGAACTCACCTCAAATCGCACGTGAATCTCCCCGAGCAAGCACCTGAGCTCCAAGAATCAAGGTACTTTCTTCTCCCATATATTAGTATTTTAAAGTGTTAATAAACACTCCTTAATCCTTGAATCCACTAAAACATTCCTAATTATATTTCCATCTTTTTACACTAAACTACAGTCTGTTCAAGACATGCCCCCCCTTCCATCCCACCCTTTAAACCCCTTCAAACCAGATTACAAAGCCATATTCATAAATTTTAGGTCAACCTTTCCATGGACTACTTGCACAAGTCCATACGTTTTTCCTACAATTTATTACAGATTTTACAAAACTACATATCAATGCAGATCATTCCGGAACAGTAAATGAAAATGACAATTTTCACCTAAGTTATAGCCAACATCAAGTCAAGGAAAAAATAAGGGACATACTAGACTCAAAATATGAACATGGGGAGTTTAAGGATCCTAATTCCAACTTTTAATGATTTTTCTAAAGTATTTACAAAACAGGGACCCAAAAGACTCGACTATTGGATGGTGATCGATGGTGGCAACTATGGCAGCCAATGGTGGTGGCGATGTGTAACACCCGGTTTTTCGTAACATGTGTTATTTTATGAAATATATATATTATGAGTTGAGTAAATTAGATAAAGCCTTGAGTTGCTTTATTTTAAGAAATGATGTTTAGAAAAAGATAATTAAAGAATGTTATAGAGCTCGTTGAGAGGATACCATGGATAAAAAGATCATTGAAAACGGAGTCTGTATGAGAAAGTTATGATCATTTGAAGATTTGATGAAAGTACTTTGTTATTTTGAAAAAGTCAACGAAAGTCTAGTCAACGGTCAAACCTATGACTCTCACGATGTGAGGAATGTTGTCTCACGACGTGAGCAACATGAATCGACAAAAACATATGGCAAAAGAGCAGGACACATGGCAGAAATTGGTCTAAACACTTCTCACGACGTGAGCAAGCCCAGACTATAAAAACGAGTCCTTTATGTTATTTTGGAGGATTTTGGCTCGCAGGAGGGGAGATGCTGCTCGGGAGCCGTTCTTGGGAGTCTATATCGGAGATGTTATACCGTTATACGGAGGATGCGGGCCGAGATACGAGATCTGTTATGGTATATTTTACCCCGTTAATTAGTATTTGTGATATATGATTATTATTAGATATATCAGACCCGTGTAAGGGTTACGGGTATTTGTGATATGGAGCTATTATGAACTCGTTGGTGAGACTAGTGAGAAAATCTCATGACTAGATATTGAGTTTGGTTGATAAGGGTTATAAACCCTATTACCCGAGAAATACCCGATATGAGAGA